AAGTAATTGCATGCACTTCAGGGTATTCTGTTATAAATTCTGTGAGTATAGCAGGAAAGATCTTGTGTTGAATAATTTGAGGAAATAGACAGAACTACTTCAGATTCTGAATTGGTACTTCATCAAAACCGAACTTGAACATTCAGCGCAGTAACATTGTACCAGATGTATAGGAAGACTGACCCTGCAATAGACTGTCATTTCTTTTCTTTTATTACTTCAGTGTTCAGGAAGGTCTGTTAAGTGCAAATAAGTAGTGTGGGGCACAGCTGAGCATTAACAGACACTTGCAAGATGAGCTATTTGTTGTCCAGTACCCATACTGCTGCATTTGAGTGATGGCACGCTTAATATGTAAAAGCACAACACTGTCCTAATTGGAAGTTTATGGCTTCTTGTCCAGAACAGGTTTGGTTAACTCTCACGGGTGAGGCAGAGCAGATGACAAGCCATAGTGGATCTGAATGCTGTGACTTATTTAAGAGCCAACAAGATCAGAGCTTTCACCCTACCTGGTTATTTCATCTGTTCACTCACTTGTCCTCATCCCTTGGTCAGTGTTAAGTTCACTAGGTGTCAACTTCTGAGAGACCAATAACGATGAATTTTTACTTCTAATGAACTTCATACTGCGCTTGCTGTATTGTAGCAGTTTGTTAACATACTGGATAATTTTTATCTGTATTTCTTTGTAATAGTGTTGAAGTACTTAAACCTCTTTTTATGAGTACTAGGAGCAAAATTGAAGTTTGTTTTGAGGTTGGGCAACTGGTAGGTCTTCTGTTTGAAGTCCTGAGCCAATCTGAAGAGATGACTAAATATGTCTAGTATTTTGGAGTTTGAGCATCTAGAAATCATTTCTGTTACCTTCTTTCTGCAGGATGATCTACTACTTGGACCCATCAGTTCTTTCAGGCGTCTCCTGTTTCGTTATGTTCCTCTGTTTGGCTGATTATCTTGTTCCTGCTCTTGCACCTAGAATCTTTGGCTCTAATAAATGGTGAGGAGAGCTTGAATTAAAAGTTTCTTGAGTATAAATAACAATTTTGATAAAGTTCATAATTTATCTGACTTGCAAATATCAAATGATTACTTTATAGAGTCACTGTAGTAAGAAATCGTCAATCTCTAATATATGAATTGAGGACACTAGTTAGATGTCCTTCATTCTTCTTTTTCTGAAAGATGACTACTACAACATGCCTTTATTCCTTCTCTTCTAGAAAAATAAGGTTTTTGTCAAAGGACTAGGCACATTCTTTGTTGTCCATTAAGGATGCTAGTTAGTTCTGCTAAACTAGTTTTTAGTAATTAATGGATAATAGATACTGAGAAGTAAAATTATGAAGAAGGGTATTGTATTATATGTTTGGAGAGAGTGGCAGTAGTAAATATGGTGAAGGAGAAGGGTAATGCAGAGAGTAGGAATGTGATCGTAAATGATTGAAACAGATTTGAAGAAGGGCAAGGCTTATGTAAAAACAGTAAGCTGTGGAAGAACCTTACTTGGAACTAAATTTTGAACTAAAAGTAAATTTCAGTGTAGCTGCTTTAAGATGACTGGTGGATAAATGTTCTTGTCTAATTGTGAACCAACATAAAAGCCAAAGTAATACACACCTGATACCAGTGTGTGTGATACACTTCTGTGTATCGCACTGGTATCAGATTAAAATCAATGGTCTTCTGGTTTGACTGTGGTTGTTCTTTGGGAGTCAGTCTAAAGAGAGTCAGCGTACAGAAAAATTACATGAGCAGTTGCATTACAATGCTCAATAAAGATAAGGCAGAAAACTAAGTGAAGCAAATGCCAGGATACGTACTGGATAAATTTTTACTGCTAGAAAAATACCATGGGAGATTTTTTAAATTTCAAATGAAGTCTTGAATTCTAATTTCTGACTCTTTTCTTTATTAAAAGGACTACAGAACAGCAGCAAAGATTTCACGAGATTTGCAGCAATTTGGTAAAATCTCGTCGCCGCATTGTTGGCTGGTGGAAACGTCTCTTCACACTGAAGGAAGAGAAGCCTAAAATGGTATTGAGTTCCAGGAGTTCATCTCTATTGTCTTAAGATTTTATTTGTTTTGTCTTAGTGTTTTAGCAATACATGTCTGAATAAACTGATATTTCAGACCAAGAACCAGCAGTTCTGGCTGTGACTTCATGCCAGTCACACATCTTATTCAAATCTGGAGTGGCAAGATACATGACTTAAAACTTGCAATACGTGCAGTTAGGAGCATACCCTTGATACTAAGATAAAGCTAGTCTGAATTTCTGTGGATACGTCGGTTTTTGGAAACACAGCTTGTTTCCAGTGGACACGAACTGTCTGAAAAACTCGATCTTAGTAATGTGTCAGGTACCTGAACACAGTGTTTACTGTCCTGAAAACAGCTTCAGGTACTGTGTGAGGCTGAAGCTGTGTCCATGGGGATGGCGTAGTCTGACTCCAAGGGATATCTGGACAGAAAAGAACTGGCATCCTGTAAAACTGATGCTCTGAAAATAAATGAGAACATACAATTGTAGACTCTGTAATCTCAGTTTTAACAAGCCTATGCATAGGTATTTGCATGTGGAAGAGCCTGCGAACTTCAAGTTAGCTTTAAATGTTGAAGTGTTGCCAGATGCTGAAGGAAAGGGGGAGAATTCCCAACAGATCTGTGATAACTGTTCCCTTTTCTTCTTTTAGTACTTCATGACCATGCTTTTTTCTCTTGCTGTGGTTGCCTGGATTGGACAGCAAGTTCATAATCTCTTTCTGACCTATCTTATTGGTAAGTGTGCAACATGCGAAACAGAAGTAACTTTTTTCTTAGCTGCCTGAAATGGTAGGAGACTGGCAGAAGTAAGTTTTGATTATTTGAGTGTGGAGGTTTTCTTGGTGGTTGTTGTTGTAGGGTTTTATTTTTCTGTTTTCAAGCAATTAATGGGGTTTAAGGGAAGCAAGGAATTGCAAGGTGACAGAACCTTGTTAAAGGAGTATTAAGTAATCCCCCCCCTCCTTTTTTTTTCCCTCTCTCTAGTAAGTTTCTTGTTGCTGTTTCCTGGACTAAACCAGCATGGGATCATTACGAAGTATGTTGGAATGGCCAAAAGGGAGATAAACAAACTTCTCAAGCACAAGGAAAAGAAAAATGAATGAAGACAACTGCTGTTCACTCTTGTAAAAGGTTTCCTGGGGAACAGTTTTGAGAATTAACATATAATCAAGATGATAAAGTTGTACTGCTCACTGGCTGTTTGTTTTTTTTTTTTATTGGCTCCCTGATGAAGTGAAAATGTCACTCTAGCAACTGCTGTGGGTTTGTGTCTCTTGCTGTGCTGACTAGGGTTCTGCAGCCTGCAGCTCATCTTATAGGAAAGATCCTGACCTTTGATGTACAGAGCTTATTAAGTGTCTTCACCAAACAAAGAGGCCCCATAAATAAATATCCCAACTCAAGGAACAGCAGAATTGTAATGTGTGATAGCATTTCTGTAACTGTGGTAGTTTCACTGATCATTAATTTGTAGCTACAGCAGGTATGAAAGGAAGTTCTGAAAGCTTATGCTTCTTGGGGACTTGTAACTACTGATCCTTGTGGAAGGAGGACAATTAGCTGAATGCTAATGATCATAGCTGAGGGTGCACACCCAAAATTGCTGCAGAAGGTGATCCCATTGTCTCACTGAATCTGCTTGCTTTTTTTGGCTGCATGTGCCAGATTATCTGTTGACTAGGGGTCTGGAATATATAAATTTGTAGTTCAGTAATTTAGCTGTAGCATAAATTTCAACTCATTGCACTGAGACTGTAGAAAATGAGTTAAGGTGTGTTACCTTAACAGCTGATTGTTCTAAAAACTGCTGTTGTCATGGAGCCATGTAGCATGTTTGGTTTTATGAATGTTGTTGTCTGTCTACAGAATCACCTTGGATATGCTAGGTTTGTCTCTGTAAATAAGCTGTCTGAGTTGTTTGTGCTTTTCTATGACTTCTCCCTCCTTTTTTTAAAACTCAATTGTTTTTCTTTAAAAGCTGAAACCTGTGTTAATGCATTTTAAAAGTTTACTGTTTTAAAATGAACTCTCTTCAGTGTCTATTGTAACTGTTGAATAGGTAAATACAGACTAAAGAGAAACTTCTTTGAGTCTTGTTCTTTGTGAATATACAGACAGTTGCATAAATGTGTCTTGTTGGAGAGCGGGACCTGGGAGTGGTGTTTCCTGACAGAAACACTCCTGTGGGTTGAAATAGCTCACTGTAAATAGTAACTTTTATCAGCCATGACTGTATGCTGATGGCTCCTGCTGCGGAGGGGAAAGGCTGTTGAGTTGTCGGCAGTTGGTGAACGCTGATAAAAGTGACGGGTTGTGGATGAACCAGCAGCAGTTGGAAGGTGTGATGGAGCTGAGCTGTGGAGAGATGCTGCAGTGCTGTCTGGAACTGTTACTCAGAAAATGCTGCTCTGCTTCGCCGGCACAGACTGTTGCTGGAAGGGGACGGGGGTGCTGCCGCAGGGCTGTCCCTCTGCCCCCACGCTACTTTTTTAACTCAATATTTGGTACAACTCAACTCCAGGGCTTTTTTAACTCAATATTTGGTACAAACCTGGGCCATGTGCTGTGTGCAGCTTTGTTCACCTCAGACCTGTCGCTCCCTCGCAGTGCAGAGACTCTCTGCAGCAGTGTCCGGGGCCCCGTTCAGACTCCGGTGGAAACCAGCACTATTGGGAATCCCTCTACTGTGCCCCGTTAAACCCGTGTTTGGCTGTTGCCCCGCGGGCTCGGGGGGCGCCGCCGCCTTTTTGCCCCTCGCGCTCCGCCGTAGCGCCGCGCAGCGTTCTGGTTGCTATGGGAACCCGGGCAGGAGCGTCGCTCCGGAAGTGCGATCTGCGCCGCTCGGCCAATGGGGATGACCAGGCCTGCGACGCCAAGTCTCGCGAGATCGCGCCGGGCGCCTCGCGCCCATGGCCCTCCCATAATCCCGCGCGGGCGCCCGGCCTCTTCCTTTTCCGCCATCTTGCTGCACCGGTGAGTGGGGG